CTTTGACCCACTTATTAGTTATTTTGAATTTATGAAATTATTGAATTTTGAGTTAATGGACACAACTGACATTTCATATGTCAGTTGTCGAATTTGTTGCAGCTAGGAAATACAAAAGGGAACAAAATTTAATTAAACTTAGTTATTAGCTTTAGCTATTCGGACAATAGAAATCCAAAAATAAATATCGGGAAAATAAGCACATAAACAAAACCGCAAAGTTAGTATGAGAACAAAATCGGGAAAATTAGTATACAGACAAAATCAGGAAAATAATTATAATAAGCAAAATCGGGAAAATAAGTGTATAAGCGCCCTTGGTGTTGTATTAAGGCCACATTTGCAAAATGACAACTTATGTAATTATACGAACGAAATCAGGCGATAACTTTTTTATGATTAAATAGGACAGCTATAAAATTTCACATGTACCTTAATTTCTTCTATTATTGGATAATGAATTCTACAGAGTCGATGAGTTTCTATTGAAATAATTGTAATTTTGTTTTACTTGACTTCGTTGTATATAAACTAGCAGTTGTTATACTACTTTATATTCATTATTATTGTTTGCGTTAGTGACGATCATATTATCCCTTGACATTGTATTTTGAATTGTAATATTGTGACGTTGATTATATTATAGTGACAGGACGAAAAAGTCATGTGCCTAATGGGAAGCTACACGCCTGTCCATAACAGTTAGGTTCAACTCACACTGGCGCGGAGTCGAAGCGTCGCGACGCGTCATGTTTTGCGCCTATAGCATATTCATCAGACGCCGACCACACTGTGATCCGGGTGCGCTAATGCGCGTCGCCATGTTTTGTAGTTGAAAAAATATGAGTTAAGCCTTACAGTGCCACTCAGATCTTTAAATTGCAAAGATCTAAGGGGCACTACCACTGCGCCCGTTATCTTGACACATAAGTTGACAAGTCCCATGTGCTGTAATTTCAGCAGTACCCTTACCCTTCAAAACCGGAACACAGTGATGCTGACGTTACTGCTTGGTGGCAGAAATAGTTAAGGTGGCAGTACTAGCCTGGACTAACTCTTTCACAAGAAGCTCTATATACTAAATAAATGATTCTATTCTTGATGGAGGTCAAATTGTTTATATGAATTTCATATGATAAAAGCACTTTTGGTATAAGATCACATGTGACTTCATTATAACTATCAAGGGTACGGTACGAGAAATTGCTAACACTGCTTTTTAGACGCATGTAAGTTGTAAATCGGGGTCACGCGTCGTCAGCTTTCTGTACGGGCCAACAGGTGGGTACAAAGCAATTTCTAAATTTAATAGATCGGCTATTATCCGATCACTTGCTAGACAAAATTTTACAGGTATCTATATTTCTTATAAACGTCAAAGATTTTGCTGACATAGCACGCAATATAACACAAAAACAAATTGAAAAACGATATTAACTCACTATGAACAGCAACCTGCACAAAAGTTGCATCGAATACGATAAAAATCTCACAGCTTACAGGTCAGAGAGAAGAATTTGAAAGTATGATCCCTGTAGAATCCTCGACATCTGAATTAGTAGAAACGAACATACAGCACGAGTTATCAAGTCGTAGGTCTATATAATTTGGTTGTTGCATGTTATAGGGGTGCCATATGTGCCGCATGGAACGTAATAAATATGTATAGGGTATAATTGATATAAATTATTACAGGGGGAATAATACTTTTAAACCTTATCACGGTTGTTATGTTCGTCATTATTCTAATAACAAGTTCGTGTTTTAGTATCTTGAAAATTATCTATATTTTACATATTATCGGTTGTTCAGGTAAAAATACTGTACTTATCGGTTGATATATTATAAAATTCAAGTCTATTATTATGTTAAACATAACCTTCCTAACCTCAGTGTCATTTGTAGACAAATAAAATATTTACAAAACTAGTTTACACAGATTTGTTTTGATAAAATTTATATTACAAATTTCAAAGTCATATAGTCATACAAATATTTCTTTAAGGCCAAGTTAAAATGAAACATCAGAATAATCTCAGTACGGAGTACTAAAAAACCGTGCTCAAAAGTTCGTGAAATTACATCTATTTGCCAAGTTTTATTAAAATCGGTTACCAAAAAGTGCGCGAAACCGGGGTCATCCCCTAGTTTACCATCCTCAGAGATCATCAAATTTAAATGGGACCACTACTGAGGTACCCTCTTTTCAACAAAAAAGAATCATCAAAATTGGTTCACAAAGAATTTTCGCTTAACATACATACAAAAAAAAAACAAACAGCCGAATTGGGATCCTTCTTTTTTCAAGTCGGTTAATAACATTTTAAAATTGTATTTGCCTAACTACTATAATAAATAACCTAGGTGATTCAACTGTTTACGCCGTGGGAGCTTATGGATGATGAAGTGCTTATAGATTTGTTTTGAGGCTATACCACCGATATTATTAGTCTCTTTGTATTGCAAAAACGTGCGGTTAGGGCAATTTACAACTTGGTCCCTAGAGTGTCTTTGAGAGATAAGTTTAAAGACACATTAACATTTTACTTTATTCATACGAGGAATATTTGTGTGATTATTTGTGTGTTTGTCCATGGCACCCGCGACACAGGGTCTTCCTAGTGCAGGGCTATAATTATGTGCAAAGATTAAAAAATATAATCTCAGTATAGATTACTAAAAAACCGATCTCAAAGGTGCGTGGAATTACATATCTATTTGCCTCTTTAGGTAGCCTCTTTCCAACAAAAAAATAATCATCGAAATCAGTTCACAAATTCAGGAGTTATCGCGTAACATACATAAAAAAAAACATACAATGGAATTGAGAACCTCCTCCTTTCTTGAAAGTCAGCTAAAAATGAACTGGCTGTTCTTAACAGGGCTTCACCGCGCTTATTAACGCAGAATTGCATTAACTTGTTAAAAAAAAACTTTATATTCATGGACGTAATAGCGAAAAAGACATTGTGCGTATCCATTGGTTTTGGATGATGCGGCTCGACACGGCAACGAAACTGCTTCCTGCGAATTTCCGATCGCCGCTATACGCAGTCGACGAAGGCTGATCGGTGACGGCGTCGACGCCTGCAGCTTGATTTTGATTGCCTCTCCCGATCGGAAACTGCGTCTCTTCCGAGTCGAGGCGCATAATTGCGATTCACAACTGGCCGATCGGAAACTTTTGACGTTTCAAATCGGAACAATAGTTGATTTAACTCACAAATTAGAAAGATATAGTAGGAATCAGGTTCATCTTCTCGCTCGGAAACCCATCTGATTTCGAGACTACCCGATTCCGGTTTGAATCAAAATCAGCATGCTGACGGGCTGCGTGTCAGCGCACGAACGGTAGCAGTAAGGGGGAGTGGGGTTCTTGAGCAACTCTGTGTGATGTTTCGGATTGAGGACGGTAATAGTTTTCAAGATATTTAATACTTGAAAATACATAACCTCAACATCACTATAAATTTTCGCAGGAAGTGCACGCGGAGTTTGATTAGTAGTAATAAACTATATACTTTATTATTAGTACTGTGAATAAACCTAATAACATAAATTTTATTTTTAAATAAGTTTTTAAAAATATTGCATTATTATATCAATATTGTGTTAATAAAGAAATAAAAAGTTCATAAGTTTAAAGAACACGCAATATGATTATTATGACTTAGGAGTAGCAAAACGCAACACAAAAAGCTCCGTGGGTGCGCTTTTATGGGACTATTTTTAAATTTGCTGTGTAATAATCGTTTTTCAAAATTTATCTCAAAATCCATTTGGGCGGCGCGTAAACGGCCGCGTCAGTACACGAACGACCGCGTCGTCATGCGACAAGTGTGGTTAAAGCGTGGAACACACTGACAGCCGAGCGGGCGTGAGACGGGCGCAGATTGAATCCCGCGCGAGCCCAACCCGCACCAAAATTATCTGTGTGTGTGTACACAAGATCGCATCAAGTCAATTTCACGTTAATAAGTACGGTGAATCCACATAGTGGTTTTCACAAAGTCACAAATTAATAAATTCATTCAAGGGGCAATATATACGCTATAATAAAATTCGGGTTGATATTCAAAATTTTCTATTCACGAGGTTTAAAACTATAGTGAAACAAAAACTTTATACTAAAGGTTTATTACACAGCTTCTGCATAGTTAGATAACAAAAATAGTGACCCGTTTAGCTTCTGCAGGTTATCTCGATCTAAAATGTTTGAAATAAGTTTTATAAATGAACGATAAATGTGTAAAAATGTTTATTTACAAAGGGCAACTCCAAGCGCTTCTTGCTCATTCGTTTCAGAGAAATTTGCCTTACAAATGAGCAGTAGAGTTTAATCAATATGACAATCTCAATGGAATAAAGATTATTTGACCTTGATTTTGAGGTTCCGCGTTCAATTGTCGGTAGTACCAATTTGTGAATTTAACTTTTCTGAGTGCTGAGTTTCTAATTGAGTGAAACTGTCCCCGTGGTCGAGAGGTCCCGGGTTCGATTCCCGGACCGGGAGAAGTAACTGCATGGCCTACATTGATTTCTCTCGTGAGTTTGGGCGTAATTTGTGGTTGTCAATGTATGTGTCCATGGCACTCGCAAGAAAGGATTTTACTAGTGCTGGGCTATGAATGTGTGCGTTATTATTAGAATATTCTGGTACAGATAGTACAGAGGGTTCCCTAGTTTAAGATTAATTAATGGGTGTGGTTGCCTGGCACATTACATACGTGTGTAGTCACAAAATTGGATTCCCAGTAGAGTAGACAGAGACTATTGATGGCCACTTACCACGGTCCTGACAAATCTCTTGCTTCATTTGCATTCATCAATCTCTTCATACAAACCCTCTTCTTTATACACACTACATACCTATCTTTTATTTTCGTGTTTTAATGTTTATGGTAAAAATCCGTTAAGATACTACTAAATATATTAATACTCTTATTATAGATTAATATTTTTAACAGAGACTTTAAGTTTTCTTTTGTTTGTTGTTTCAGATTTGGACGAGCCCTCGAGATTCGAGAACGGAAATTAGGGAAATAATAAAAGTTACTTAGTGTCAACGTAATGTAAATATTCAATAATAATTTTAATCTTAGCTAGCAAATAAAAGATGTATAGTGTGGAAATAGTAAGGACTTTTATAGCTTTCCTCCTGCTTGCCGTTTCTACGTCACCGTCGGCAACACAGAACACCATTATTTCAGGTAAGATTCAATGTCATGTATTAACTATAGTTAAGGAGAGGTATTTGAATGCGAATCTAGATTTTAGAAGGTGAGGTATGAGGCGAAGACGCGCGTCCCGCAAACCGCGCCCATAAAACTAATGTGATTAAAATAAGAACAGGCGGAGAAATATTTACGCAGATCCGACGTTGATAAGCGTCCGGTGACCAATGACGGGACAGCGGGCAGTTCGGCATTAAATTATTATTTATTAAATTAAACCAACTTCTGCAGTCCCGGTTTTTTCTTCCTACACAATGAAGTCATTCTAATAAGAAAATGATTTTATTAGCGTTAAAAAACAACTAGTACATTTTATTCATTTTCTATGAAAAACACAACGAAATTTGACCAACTTCTGCTGTCCCGATTTGTTTCGTTACATACAATGAAATTCCTTCCTTCATGAAACTGAGTCATCAGCACAAAAAAAATTGATTTTTATGGACAACTCACGCTTGAAGAAAAAATCGACTATGCCAAAATTGTTATCACGAAAAAAGAGTTAATGGTTACAAGGACAGTCTTTGTATCTTTTATGGTTTCAGATTTCCCAATACTGTCTCTGGTTTAAAAAACACTGTATATAGAATATAACTTCCTTATAACGTTTCTTTTTGGAACAATTTATTATATTTTCATTCTACGACTCATGATCATGAAGAATAAAATAGTTAATTATGCGTGGTAAAAGAAAAAAAGAAAGTAGAGAGGGTTTCAAGGCACGAGATGCAAAACAACTTTGCTGTCGAGCGAAACACACAACTTTTAACCTCACTATAGCGAGGAAAATAGTAGATGAAAGAAAAACAGGTGAACTGTAATAAATCAGTTTTAATAAACAAAATTATTTATCGTTGTCAATGTAATGTCAACAATAATAAGAATAAAATGTACCAACGGATTTATATGACATAAATAATGTACGACAAATCGCGTAATTGAACGTATCATTATGTTTTGTTTTCATAGGACAATCCAGCGTCAAGTTCGAATTTCAAAAACCATTTGCTAAGCTAGAAATGAAAAAAAAAGTATTTTCGTGGATTATGAACAAATCAATGTAGGCGTATTAAACTAATAACGTCTTTTGACCAAGAGTTAATATCGATTTTAACAAGCCACGTGGTAGTTTATTAAACAAGAAAGAATCGGAATTATTTCTTCCATTCCCGATGTGACAGTACGAAAATGTCGGTGATATTTGAATTCACCTGTGAGGTTGTTCAGGTTTTACAAGTCTCTTTGAACGTGAATTCCATTTCATTGGTATTTGTTTTTGATTGATATTCTAATTACCTTCTGTCAGATACTTATATAAATGAATAAGTTGGAGAATTATAGCAAATTTGCGTAGTCTTAAACTAAAAAACTTTCTGCTTTACGGCGCGTCCCGCCGTCATAGTACCAAGATTGTTATAATATAGATGATTTCGTGCTATTCATGAAATTTCCCCAACGCCGATCGGTGCCAAGGTTCGAAATGTAACAGTCCAATGAAAAGCCTGAAATTCTATTGAGGTCAGCTTAGCATGTTCATGTAGATTGAACGTATACAAATTATACCACCCCTCGGGCATTGTAATGGAACATTATCGATTATAGACCTTATGTAACAGATATTTTAAACTTTCGCCACTGAAATGTATTTTGTAACAGATCCTGGACCATCTACTCATGTTATTAATACGTACCAGAAATAGTTGTAAACGTATAAGGTTTCTACGATAGTATTGTATTTCGAGGAAGGGATATACTGATAGAATTTACCATTACCAAATTGAATTACTTAATTGTTCTATATTGTTTTCGTTTCTCAGAAAAAATATTATTATTAGTATATATATGGAGCCGCCATATTTTTGTTACAAGACACTGTGATCACAATGTGAAAATACATTTTGGTACTGTAACTACGATACTGGAACACAGGTCGCCGACATAGCTTGTAGAATAAGCAAGCTGAAGTGGCAGTGGGCTGGCCATATCCGTAAGCGAGTTCTTGAGTGGAGACCACGGTTCGGCAAACGTAGTGTAGTACGCCCTCTGGCCAGATGGAGTGACGCTTTGCGAAGAGCTGCTGGCAGCAGATGGATGCTACGAACTGAGGACCGGGCGTAATGGAGCGCATTAGGAGAGGCCTATGTCCAGCAGTGGACTACGACAGGCTGTTAATGATGATGATGACTGTTACGCTATAAAACGGGGTCACGTAGGCACAACTAACGTAAGACATACGTAGTTTATTATTATAGCATTATATGTTAATATAAAGCTCACGCCCTAGTCCCACAGGAAGAGTAGGCAGAGATCACGGAACGCCACTTTGCTTTATTCTGACAAAACTCTCGAGCCTCACATACATCAACTACCCATTTCATATAACTTTTTTTATTCTTGTCACTTCGGATCCCAGCCTTTTTGAGGACATCACTGATCTGATCAATATAGCAACTTAAACTGCGTTAACAATGTGGTCTTTTGAGATGGTCAATGGCTAGGCAGCAGGGTTCTCAGCAGATAAGCCAGCAAGTTCCCAGAACATTTCCACTAGTGGAAGCTCACCTAAAAGCAAGGTAGGTCTTGCAGCAGAGGATCTAAGCTCATTCTACAGTACAAAATGCTACGTTTATCTCGATCTCAACACCATCTAGCGACAACGCGAGATTATTTGAGTTATAATTTTAGTTGCGGTATTACGGTATCACTTTCTCAAATAATAATAGTGTAATTTACTAATTTTGTAAATTTCAGAAAAATAACAATGATGCTTCTTTTAAATTACTAAAGATAGTAGAGAATGGCATTGATTGGTCTTTGCTCTCGTGCCATTTTTTTTATAATATCAACTGACGGGACGAACAAGTCGTGCGCCTGATGGTAAGCTACACGCCTGTCCATAATAGCTGCTGTGCCACTCAGACCTTTAAATACTTCATTTATGGATAAAAAGGGTAAAAAATATTAAAAAGAGAAACAAAAATTAAGAAGTCCAGAAGACGCGCATTTTCATATAAAATGTATAAAAATGACAAGAATGAAATGCGAACATAACGTATGAAATTCGTAAAGGATAAGAACGAGGGCGCATTAACTAAATAAAATCCCTCCAAGGAGGTTCATCTCTGAAGTTACATTATTAAGTATCCAAAATAACTCACGACAGCATTCATACGTCATACGAATGTGACCATAACATAGGGAAGGACGGATAAAGGCACGTTCTGAATTCTAAATGAACTGTATAAAGCATAATATTTGACTTTTGCCAGCGGCCAGCCGAGTCACGGAAACTTTTATTAATGTGCTTGTCAGTTCTTTTATGTTTGCGTTTGTGACGAAAAAATGTTTTAGGCAAACCCATATTTTCGTGGTCATTGCTGAATACATGCGAGGTTTTATCGTTTTCACAGTTTTGAACTTGTCCTACATTAAACATGAAAATCAGAGCTGGCTGTTTCTCGGGAATTAACAGGCACTGTCATTTTGAATTAATAGAACCTACCGACGGGACGAACAAGTTGCGCGCCTGGTGTTAAGCCACAAGCCTGTCCAAAGCAATTGCAGTGTCACTCAGAACTTTAAATGGAAAAGATCTGAAGGACACTGCTAATGCACCTGTTACGCTGAGACATAAGTTGATAAGTCCCATGTGCCTGTAATTTCACCAGCACTCCTTTGAAACTGGAACGCAGTAATGCTCATATTGTTCTTGGCGGCTAAAATAAGTACGGTGACAATACTTCCCCGGACGAATTCTTTCACAAGAAGCTCTACTGCTACCAAAATAAAATTATTTTCTTATTGGCATAGCGACATTCGTAAATAAATAAATCAACCAAAAGTCGACATTAAAAAATAACCGTAGTTTATTTATAAAACAGTAATTATGGTAGTCACACAATTACAAGCGTAAGCACGAAACATGATACAAAAAATGCGAATGTTTGGTAGTACTTTTCAGCAAATAATATATAGAAGAAGAAGACCATTTTCCACCACGTGCTTTTGCTATTCTTATACCGGTACTCAAATATTATTTATAATTAATTTCATTCAATATTTATTTGAAATCAGTAACTTAATTTTATATAATTATTAATACAAAGATCGAACACTCTGAAAAAATTCCGGTTCGAATCCGACCGGATCGAAGGAATTTTTTCTGAGTGTTTGATCTTTGTATTAATAATTACAGACTAGTGGAGTAATTTCACAAAAAATAATTGAGTATCAATTCAATAAAAATTTAATTAATTTTATATTTTAGTAAAAATGTATTAGGTATAGAAAATATTATTAAGCAGGTATACGAGTACTTTTTAGTACTATTTTCTACCAAATACGTATTTTTTTAATTAATAATATAGAGTTAACTCGCTTCGTGAATGTGATGTCGGTATCTTTACTAATACATTTTTAATATGCTCTGTTAAACCATCTAAAATCCAAAGTGTAAAGAACAGCGCGCTGGTTGTTATACTATTCATTCATTCTCCATGATCACGCAATAGGTTGTTGGTAATTTGCCGATGAAAATGGAGCTAGGAAAACCAAAAAGAAAAATTCTAAAAGTTTTCTATGTAAAGATATTTTTATACGAGAACTATTTTTCCTAATTTATATGCAACCTACATTTAGTTATAAGAAATAAGGGAACAATAGTAATGTTTTTTCCATTACGTTTCCTCCTGTTATTTCTATCTTTCGTTTTATTGTGCTCGGAGCACGACCGTTGTCGGGTCCAGCCCTTATCTGTCGCTAAGAGATTTATTCGAAGCTGCCCCTGAAGTTTTACAACACACAAGGCTTTTCGGAAACTTTTGTTAAGTGTTGGATTTTTATTTGCCAAGTTTAAGGAGGGGCTATCCTAAATCAACAGCTTCTGCGTTACTGTGGGCAGGTGAGGCGCGTAGCAAAGCACTTTAACAAAGACTTCAAAGAGAGGTTACACTAATTAATTGGAGAAAAACAGTCGA